TATGCTACACGATGTATTTATCATGTCCTTTATTCGAACACTGTATTTACCTTTCTTTGATGATTTATATATATATATATATATATATATATACATTTTTTTCAATTTTGTCTATATATACCTAAATACATAAATATGTATCTATATGAACAAATAAAAATAGTGTTCGAATATAGGAACATAATGACGGTGTAATCGTATCTACCACACAGTGGCTCGTTAACGAAAAGTTCATTATATGTTATATGAAAATAAAGTGTCTCTATCGGGATTCGAATCTGCGGCCTCTCGCAAGATACGTAAGTGTCATACCATTAAGCCACATATAGGCCTACCTTAGTACATTAATACATTATTTTCACCCTTATAGGCCTAGTCGTGATTAATTTTTAATTTCCGCATCATTAGTTTTAAATAATTACACTCTTTGTCTGGGATAAACTTTATCAGCTGTGCGTAATATATATTACATGTATTCCATCTTTAATTTTAGGTTTGTAAAATATAAATTGATTTTTACATAATATGTAGGCCTATGTCATTATCATTTTTAGCAAAAATTATATACATGAAAGCAATTTCCACGATAGCAACATTAGATAAAGATTTCACTTACCTGATGCCACACACGTTTACTATTGCTATTAAACGCCAAGGTAAAATAATGCGTTATTCGAACTGATCAAATGTGTTATAAATTACTCAAAATATTATAATTTCATCTTGTATGGGTCTCTAAGGAATTGATAATTATTCACTTGATTATTATTAATACACCGTTAGGATATTACGACGAATCTTGGAAAATCGTATATAAAATTGCGCATCAACATTGGTAACATGAAACTGCAACAGGCCTTATCATGTATACACATTCTTATTTGTTAACTGCATATTTGTATAGTTTAATGCTGGTGATTGTCTTATTCTAGATACGGTACTAAGACTGATTAACGGTGCGACTGGAGGTCGGAACCGGAGAAGAGGAAATGAAATGAAATATTGGACGATCTCGGCGTTCCATAAATGTCAACTCCTCGAACACAAAACCGAGTCTAACGCTACAACTTAAGCTCAACAAATCTACAAACGAATGTTTTGTGTCAAAATAAGAAAGATAAACTTGATAAAAGATTACAGATTTGCCGGTGATAGATAGCAGTGCATTGCACTGCTGACGCTACATTTTATGTGAACTGCTAGGCTGCTAGTTGCTAAAATGCATTCCCATGAAATTAATAATCAAACATCCAACGACAATGAAATAGAGTTTGAATTACCTAGCAAATTGTTGAGACTATTGTCAGGAGTGGACTAATGATGTCAGATTTCTAGCTGAAGTCATCACGGGTCATTGTATTTAAATAACGGGAAAAAAACAACTTCAAAAGGTGGATGAATACGTTTACATTTATTTCAATGTTCCTTATTGATTCATTACGTAAAATAATATGTCCTAGTCTATAGGCATGTAAGCAAAATGCAAATTGAAACAAATATGACCACAAGGCCCATTACAACTTATGAGTAAGAGAATTTAATATAGGTACCCAATGGAACCAGATGGAACTACTTTAAAATGAATAAATTTATTAATTTCGAATACGGTAACAACTGACGTGATTATAACGAATACCCACACTTGTTGCCGTACGTAAACGAAAGCATCAATATTATAATTTTTATTGTTAATATTATAATTTTCAATAAAAGAATAATTATTTTGTTTATTGTAAAGTTGTATCATTCGTTTTCACTTAAATTGGCACATCCCATTTGTGTTTAAAAGCTGGCCGATACAAGTTCCCTACTTAAGTTCAATGATGTGAAGAATGTGTTTAGCATAATATCAGCCAAAGTTTCTTAAATAGAGAATGTATTTACAGGGCCATCCATCGAAAAACTGATATGTATCAATACAGTTTATCATAACAGGAAGTATTTGAATCCTAAGAAGATGCTTTAATTCCCCCTTTAAGTCTCTGGAATAAGCAATACTTAATGGACAAATACGACTTATGCAAGCTAGTAAAAATGTATCCCTTGTATCATATTCAAAAGGAATTACGCAGTATTCATTTGGAATGGTAATACCAAAGCACGTTATACAGATGACGTTTCGGGAGTGTGTTCACGCGATGCAATGATAATCAACGTGCATTGCACATTCGTATCAAAGGAGGCGATCCATTAATATCGATGCTACCCTAAGCCGTACATTAAAGTATTAAGGAACAATTTATTTTAGTAAATAAATACCAACCTATAACTGTAGTATATGTTACCGAATCTTTTAATGTGTTCAAATAAATACGAATATAATGTTATGCAACATGTGGATCAGAAGAAGGATAGCGTAGAATTTATTCTGAAAAAAAAAACCAAAAATCAAAAACAAAAACTAAAAAACTAACCGAGTAACAGTCTTGCTGTGTGGATTCTAGTAGGCTTGGAAACACAGAGAGTATCAATCAGATCGATTGAGTAGAATGATGAGGTGTTGTGATGTTTAAGTTCGAAAATATTGTGATACTCTGGAACTGACGAATTACCAAAATAAAGGGAATTACCCTTAATGAAAATCCTAATTAATCAAAATTACCTAAATAAATTACCTCAAATGAAACTGAATTATTAAACAAATAACTTAGTGAAAGTATTAAACGAATAAAAACGTTAAACATTAATAAATGTATTAACTAATAAATCCATAATTTTTAATTGTTATGCTATGTAGGCTACAAACGTCATGTTTGGTGTTTAGTTAACGCCACCAGCAGAGCACACTCTGTCTGGTGTACGTTGCGGTAATTAGGCTTCTAACGAAAATCCGATACATTTGTTTATGACTAATCTAATTCTGATTATTTGGGTTTTTATTTGGGTAATTCCAAATCAATTTGGTCTTCATGTAATTTCTATTATCAGCGAAATTTTGTGTTAGTTGGGTAATTCATCTGATCCCTTAGGCTTGGGTAATATCACTGTCGTTGCATTGCATTTTACTGAGTGACCAAAGCTAAGAATAACAACAGACAGGTTAGAAAGTGTCAAAGATGATGAATTTCAACGCCTACGAAGACGGATAGCACTTCCTACATTGATGAACACCCGGTCGACACTTGACCCATCGACGACTGATGGCGTAAAGTGAAGATAGTGTTGATGACAATTTTGAAGACAGATAATCAATCAAGAAAGTTCAGTAGTAACGTACTAACGGAACCAAATTGAACTCGCACACAAAATCAACAGACAGATGTACAGATGTAAAATATAGTTTAAACTGTAAAGAGTATTTATTGTTGTCATTTTGATTATTTACACAGGGCTGTTATTAATAATTATCATAAATATAAAAATACACCATCTGTTTGATTTAACCAGCTTAAATTTACATTCAATCTTTTACTCATTTAAATGTTTGCTCAACTACGTACGCTTTCAATTGATTTTTAAACGATGAAATATTTTCCAAACAAAGAGACGAATTATATTAATTATAACGTTTTTATTCTTGCATATAAATACCCTTAAATTGGCTGGTACAGTAATAGATTTAATGACACCAGGACTAATTGTATCCAATAGACCTATTTAAATTGCTAACTTTATAGCTTTCCAATGAAATTTCGTAACGTGGATTGGCAGATATAATGCATAAATTAACAGATACAATGCATACGGTAAATAATACCGTATTCTTTACATGAATCCATTGGCTGGTAAGAAATTTAAATACTTTGTGATGAAAACGAATTGCTTTGTTCTGTGTAATTAGAACTTCATAGAATATTTGGTTCTTTTAAAATAATATGAATTTAATTATTATAGCATTATTATTTTTATATGTTTATATTATTTACAATAAATGGGAACTACTGGTATTTAAATCACCACATCATTTAGTGCATACGCATGTTGATATGCAATTTCATTATTGTGTACCGTATTTTTCTTGTGCCTTATGAAAAACCACATTACTGACGGTACCACAGTAAAAATATTCAAATGAATGCTTTTGTACAGTACAGTATATGGTCCAAACATGGCTTGTTTGACGGCATTCGATGCATAGACTTAATTTGAAGGCATTCGTCGCATATTAATCACATATTTATGTTTACAGTGTATGTATACTCTTTT